CTGTTAAATGCTCGAAAACATATAAACACACACACTTGTAGCATTTTTTAAAGGCATATTTTTGCGATGTACCAGGTATTTATGTGTCATATCCAGCCAGTGGGTGAGTCCAGTGGACTTGCAGCAGGATCACAGCTGATCCTCAGGACCAGTTTTGTTTTACAGAGCAAAACCAGAATATCAGTGTTTGAGACTTTTCCCCAAGTGTATTCCACAGAAGCAGCTAGGCAAAGACAGTGTGCTGTACTTGCATCTCCTGGGAGGACCATCAGGAATCGCTACGCAGAAATAATAAATACTTTTGTTAGTCTGCTGCACAATTTTGGCTTGTACTTGCAAGCAGATGCTTGGAAAGATCTCTTGGGAGAAGACAACTGTGCAACCTTGTGCTACTGCATGAAGCCCAGTGCAGGAAGACGCTAACAGATGCGTTCCTAAACTCTGCTTTGCTTTGGGTGCCAATTCCCTGTTCACTTTGTCTTTCAGCTTTTGCCAAGCTTGTATTAGTATAAATACAAAGCCGTTTGGTGTCACAGTGTCCATTCCACTTTCCACCAGGCATTTATCCAAAATTGTATCCTGCAGGCAATTGCAGGAAAAGCAAAGTGGCCTTTTTGCTTTCACAGTGAAGCCATTCACGTTCACTCAGAGCTGCTATAAGCAGCTGGATCCCAGCTGCAACTTTCTGGATAACACATTCCTCCTTGTAAGAAAACAGCGAAGCCACTTTCCTTAATGTCTTGTAAAAGCGTGGAATCAAGTTAAACACAAGGCAGGCCCCTCATAGCTGTTGTCCTGTGATTATTCTCATTCAATCCAGGGTTAATTTTGAGGGGGAGAATAAAAATAATTTAAAAAGGCGTAAGCAGGGGAATGAGTGAAAACCTCACTGGGGCTAAGGTCTGATTCAGTTTGTTGCAGATGAGGTTACAGCTGATCACCCTGAATAGCTAAGTCTATGGAGATTTCACATATTTCTTACTTATACTCAGAGATTGGTATTCTGTAAAATGGAAATTGCCAATTAATCATGAGCATCTTTTGGCAAGCATTTATAAGCAAAGATCTTCAAGTCTTAATCCAGGCTAACAAAGCCCCAGTGTCCCCAGACACACTTCATTAATCAAATCTGATGACTGTCTATAAGGGAGCTCTGTGCAGGCTTCCATGGGAAAAAGAAATGAAGGTTAAATTTTGGTTTCAGAAATGATTAGCCAATTTTTCTCTGAGCATTGGAAATAGCCGAGGAAATTTGGCAGCATGGAGGTGTGACAGGGGAATGTTTAGGTTTATTGTTTGTGTATTTCAGCAAGAGAATCATAAGACCCCATGTATGGTTAGAGCTAAAGAACAGGAAGGTCACAGATGGAGTTTCATGGTCTCATTAGGTTTTCTCAGGCTCCGTCAGGGAACAGAAGGCTGTACCTGGGCCAGGCACACTAACCTTCCCACAAAGATGTGCACAGGTTCCTAGCGGATGCCCACATTAGGCCTCTGTGGGTAGTGCTTGCAATTAAGGCTCTAGCTATGAGATTTTGGACCAAAGCCTGAGGCTCAGTTTTTGTGTCAAATCTGGAATTCTGGGAGGACTGTGAAAGGTTTTGTCCATCCTCTGTGTCAGTAGTCAGGGCTGGGTTTTTACTCCCCAACTCTGGCATAAAATAGTTAATTTGTTAATTGATAATGATACTTTGGAAAAAAATGCTTTGTTGCTGGTATAGGAAAGGTGAAGTTGATCACTTCTCATTTCTCCTTACTTTCCCTAACATGTCTGTGTACATCTCATTGGCACCTAGACTGCAAGCTCCACATTCATTGGGATGTGGGGTTGTGTGACTGGCCTTTCAGTCTGTGACAAGCACTAAGATAACCGTCGTGATTATAATAACAGGTAGACCTGATGGCCTTGGTTGATTAATCTGAAATCTCCTTAGAGACAGATTCATCTCTCTCCTGGAGTTGCTGACAGTTTTTCTTGTCTCCAGGTTTCCCATAAAATATTCTTCACATTGCCAAGCTGCTCTGTTTCCTTTATGTGCCAAATGCTGTGAAGAGAGAATCACTCAATTAGTAACATCCCCTAAATAGGGTGATTTGGGATGAGGGAAAGGAGATTTTTGTCTCTAGACAGGGCTTAATTGAATAATTTTTTTTGATAGGTCAGTGATGTAGTAAAAGGTTCCTGATACATTTTGTGTGAGATGTTTACTCTTTTGCTTCAACTGGGTGTACTGGTATCACTTTTCACCTCATTTTCAGAATGATACTTCAGAATTAAAGATAAATAACTTTTTCTGAAATACACTGAGGGTAAAAGGCACGTTAGTAACGATATCACCAAAGGATCTGGGGAAGGTAAGACAGAAGAAGCAGCATTCAATACATGTGGTGAAGTATATGTGGTAATCGCTGTACACTCTGCTGCAGATTCAATATCCAGCAGTTACCAAGAAATATGAGGAAAAAGCATCTATGTTTCTACTTTTATTTATTTACACAGCAGACTTCAGTTCTGTCCAAGAGCCTGGATACGATTTGGCCAAATGATTCCCTCGGCTAACGCTGTGGGAAAGCTGTGGTTGCGCCAACAGGAATAAATATATAAATGAACGAATGAATAAATAACGGAACAACTACGCAGGCAGGGAGCCGCTCTGCGCGGCAGCCCCG